TGAATTGTGTAAAAGTTCGATGTTATTTGGTATATGTTTTGGCACAAATGGAAATAATGTCTGGTTTTAATTGTGAAAACAACATATATTTCACAAACCAATGTGATACCAGGTCACAAGTATTAGGGTGTGTATGTGTGTAATCGGATGTGGATAATGTCAATTGAATCGTGGAGTTACAGAATAATGTTATAATTTGAGTAGAGGTGAGGTGAGGTGAGGTGGAATTGGGTTTTACGTCGTGCTCTAGAATATTTCGCTCAAATGACGACGTGCATGCGTGTGTATGTGTAGCTCCTTGTACTAGCCCAGACTTAAGCTAGTTTTATAGTGCCTTTGCATCGTTAAAAAAATTAAACGGCTATTGAAACACATAGCATGCCAAGGCTCACGTCTGCACAACGGCATGAGGCCATTGGGTGAATGTCTCAACGACAAGTGGCTGCACATTTCCACTGCATTTCTGCACTGGTGAGACGCTACCAGAACACAAATGACGTCATCGATCGGCCACGTTCTGGACGTCCACGTGTAACAACGCCAAGACAGGACAGATGGATAAGGGTGACCCATCTTCGCCACATGCAGGTTTCAGACTGCAGTGATGACTGCCCGAACGATCGCAGGAATTCGCCGTATCCGACCCAACACAGTTCGACAACGTTTACGTCATCACGGGATCAGACCACGACGTCCCGCCATACGGCCTATCCTGACACAACATCATCGATAAGCTCGCCGAATGTGGTGCCGAAGTCATGTCCGCAGACCCTTGTTTTGGTGGAGAAGTGTTGTTTTTACAGACGAGTCCAGGTTTCCCATAGTGATGGACGTCAAAGTGCCTATAGACGCGTGGGAGAACGTTATGCACAGGCCTGTGTCTTGGAGAGGAATCGCTTTGGTTGTGGTTCCGTGATGATTTGGGGTGGAATAACAGCACGCCAAAGACCTCCTTTGGGGATTGTTCAGGGCAACTTAACTGGTGTGGGCTACAGGGATCAGATTCTTCGACCTGTGGCAATTCCTTTTCTGCAACGTCATGGCCCTAGGTTAACATTCCAACAGGATAATGCCCGCCATTATACAGCAAGTTTGCTATGGATTTCTTGCAACACCACAACGTTGACTTACTGCCTTGGGCTGCAAATTCACCGGATCTCTCCCCGATAGAGCATGTTTGGGACGAGATGGATCGACGTCTGCGCCGTCTTCCTCATCCGCCAGATAACGTCCTTGACCTTGCAACAGAACTTGAAAGAATCTGGCGTGACATCCCACAAGCCTTCCTTGCACGTTTGATTAGCTCTTTGCGTCGTCGATGCACTGCTGTTCTCAATGCCGATGGTGGACATACCCGTTATTGAGCTTGTCACATGGCCGTTTGACCACTGTCCCGCTTGTGGACTCGTGACGTCATTGTGATTGACTTTTCAATTGAAATTCTCCCGACTTGTTATGGTCTCATGATCCCTCCATTAAAGTTTATATGTACCTTTGACATTGTCATCGTACTTATCAACTGGGATAATATTTTGACAATGCACAGTTTCTTTATGTGGCTAGTATATATCACGGCGGTGGACACCAGAAATGGGCTTCACATATTGTACCCATGTGGGGAATCGAACCCGGGTCTTCGGCGTGACGAACGAACGCTTTAACCACTACGCTACCCTACCGCCCCTATACATGAATAAGCTGAATTTCTCTTTACGATAAAGGGCGGTGAAGTAGCCTTGTGGTTAAAGCGTTCGCTCGTCACGCCGAAGACCCGGGTTCGATTCCCCATATGGGGTATAATGTGTGAAGCCCATTTCTGGTGTCCCTTGATGCCACATTGCTAGAATATTGCTCAAAGCGGCGTAAAACTCTACTCACTCACTCTTAACGACAAATTCATATGACAAACAAATGAAATCGAAAGCATCAACACTAATTGGAGTCAAAGGGTCATAAATTCACATTTAAAACAATTCCTTTGAACACATTCTCATTTTCAAATACTTCATGTAAATACTGGCTATCTATGATTAACAATATAGCGTAAAGATGTGATAAAATGTACCCGTCACCGTGACGCAGCCAATGTCATTACGACGTAGTGAGCCGTTACTCTGTACATAGCAAACCGTAACGACCACAAGCAAGCGTCCTATCGATGTTGCGTATTACAGGGTGTGAAACCAGGCAACAGAATCTCTGAGACTGGAACCTACCATGTCCTGATGGGTGGATACATGTACTTTGCCCTAGACAACTGACCTACGCGTTTTCCCAGTTATAGTTTAGGCGACAGACGAATAATGTGTGATAAACTTCATTTACAGGGAAAAGGTTTAAAAGACCCAATTTCTTTCAGGTAGACGAGTGATCGATCTACTATTTATACAACGACCTTTTACATTAAGAGAATGGTGCCCTCCCCGTAACGACTCGTACTACAACGAAAGTATGCTTTTTGTATGATACATTCAGAGGTTCCTCATGAATCAAAGTCAATATCGAACAGTTAATATCTAATTGATCTGTCCAGAACTGTAATTGTTGCGAACAGGTGCGAAAGTGTTCCTTCGTAAGTTTGCATTGAGCTGTGTCAAGCTGCAAGTTGATGCTCATTCGTATTCATGTAACCTGGCCATAGAACAGCTGTCAGGGCTAAAGCATTGTATGCAGATATATTCAATTATATGTCTGATCAAGTGTTGTATCTACTGCTGCTGTCAACGAAGATCGCCCTACGTAATCCGATGAAATGGTCCTTATGGATTTGACACTGTAACTAAAAAAAGATTAAGTGTGTTTATACCATACCTGCATGTAATAACTGGGCGTGTTTTCTCTTTTCAATGACTGATTTACATTTCTAAAATATGTATTATATTCCATATGGTTTCAACAAATATGTTTTCTTTCTTAACTCGTTAGAGGCAGTGGGGTAGCCTAGTGGTTAAAGCGTTCCCTGGTCACGCCATTTCTGGTGTCCCCCGACCCGATATTGCTGGAATATTGCTAAAAGCGGCGTAAAACTCAACTCACTCAGTCTTAACTCGTTGGGTTTACAGTGTGGACTCAAACACACGTGCGTTTGCTTTTAAGCTGATTCAGCTACTTTAATGTTGGGGGAGCGGGGTAGGTTGGAAAGGGGGATTGTAGTGGTGGAGGGGGTGGGTTTTAACGCAGGTCTTCGGGGAAAAAGGTGCATACACGTGGCGACTTGAGTGAGACTGAATAGTTTTTCTTTCATTTCTTGACGAATATCAATTTCGTTTGGACAAACTGTATATCAGCTTTATTTGATTAACATGCGAAAAATAGTTATTAAACGTATACAGGGAACAAGTTATCTATTTCAAAAACAGTGTATGATTAATACCTAACCCTAATCTTACGAGTAAATACCACTACTATAAACAGTTACATAAGGGAGTGAGTGAGTTTACTTTTACACTGCGTTCAGCAATATTCCAGCTATATGGCGGCGGTCTGTAAATAATCCAGTCTGGACCAGACAGTAGAGTGATCAACAGCATGAGCATCGATCTGCGCAATATATGAAAATTATATGGTAAATATGTAATACATATAGGCGCATACAAACGTACTTGAAACACATTTATGCTATGTTGTACAAACTAATTTCGAAATATTAGGTTAAAGAGGAAAGATGTATTAGATCCCAATTTTCGTAAAAGCTGAAACTGAGTAATATTTACGCTCCAATAACTGAATTTATTGTAAATAGTACTTTTTCCACGTCTATAAGAAATCTCTGTTAAATGAGTCGATTGTACCTATCACGAGTATATATTTGTGTTTCAGCTGTATTACATCTGTACGATGTTTGTTTGGATATACTAATCGAGTCGGCACAAGACAATCGAGTCTGGACAAGACAATCCTGAGTGATTGTCACCATGCCGACTGATGATAGTGATGATACTATCCACCAAACTCAAATTGGTACTATGTTTGAGCTTACTTCAATTTCGATCATTCTGAAGGTTTTCTCAAATTTGAGTAAAACTTTAACTTAAGTATCCTTAAGTTTGTTTCACCGGTGGCACGAGAAGGTGAAAACATATCCTGTTAACCGGTCTAGTCATTTATGTTCACCTGAAATAATTCGGGAACGTATGGTATAAGTCAAAATATGGAATTGCATCGGGCATCATTTTTTGTCACTGATGCATCAAATTTCGAAATTTCCTCTATATGCCCAACATAAAACTTTTTGGAAAGACCGAACTGAGACCTCGCCCTTTGTAACGTTGATCGAACAACTTCTGAGCAAGAATGGTATGACGTTCTTTATAATATATTGCTGAGTGTGGCGTAAAACTAAATTCACTCGGTCTTTGTGAAAAGAGCATGCTTAAGATTGTACCTCAAAGTTGTGAAATGTAAACACCAAAGGCTGGAGCTGTTGGAATATTGCTCGACATGAAAGGAAAGTTGACCATTGGAAAGTTAAAATCCTCCCTTTTGTCATACAGCCTTGTGGAGAGTGTTTTGTCACTCTGAATTAATCTTTATGCATATAGATCTATAAATGAAGAAGTGATTTAGGCAGTCTCACTTCTCTCCTTATAATTTCAAGTCAAGTTCAGGTGGAAAGTAAAGCTATTAGTGGATTGAACGATATCAAATTTACATGTACCTGAAGCTTAGGTTGAACTTCCTGATTTTTCCAACTAAACAAGATCCTACTAGATCTAATTTCCGTCTTGTAATTTTTAACTTCATGAGAAAGGTTGAATTAATAGGGAATATTTATTCAGTGCCATTTGTGGTACATGTCTATTTATATCTTGATATGAAATTCCTACGAAACGGCACCCCACTGAAGAGCAATGCCTGAACACGTCACAAGAAATGTGTCACGTGAGTATGACGCGGGAAATTGGTTACCGGAAGTGCCAATAGTCGTCTGCTGCTCTGTACTGGCATTTGATTTCTGTTGCGCAACCAATTCTTGAACGTATGTTCCAGATGGGCTGCGACCGGGCACCCAGTTATCTGTTTCGAATGAGAGACAACTGCAGAAAGCACGTAAAAAGTTCTTAGTTGGCGTATTGATCAGAATTTGATCCGTTGCTGTCGGTAAGTTCTAGATAAAGTTTTCTAAGATATTCTGGCATTGGCCATTTGATCCATGCCAGATTTCAGAACAGTACTCGACAGTATTAGTGTGATTGAAAGTAGTGGAGCTAAGCCTAATGATAAGTACTGCCGACGTCATGTCGCCTTCGCGAGTACTCGGTGCTGACTTCGTGCTGTCAGTATAAATACTATTTTGCAATCAATAAATGTGATTAGGCTTTCTATGTCTGATCTCAGTGGAACAGGTGTCTTCATGTTCACGATTCATATTTCATGTTTCAGATTGAGACTTTTGACTTAGATTCTCTTGAGCGTCGAAGTCGTCTTTCATCATGGACATACCAGTAAGTAGCTAACGTCTTTCGAGGTCTTTTTAAATATAAGCTGTGTTACTTGTAATGTTTGTCTCAATCTGATCTCAAATTGTGTTTTATTATCTGCTGTAGGTATGATATCGAATTTGCTGAATTTATTTGCCAGAAATCGAGGGTTTTTTTTACTTTCATTAGAAACAGGTATGTATTCCAAAGTTAGCGCCTTTTCCTCGTGTTGTGGGTTTTCAGACGCTAAAGAACATCTGGGGGGTTCTTTCATAATCACATAAACAATTGTGAAACATGTCATTAACTTATTAAAGACAACTTTATTGTAAACACAAGTCAGCATCCCTGCACATACAAAGTATGTGTGGCGTCTAACTCCCCTGGTTTAACGACAGCAATAGAAACATAATCCGAGGATAGATTGTAGTCTAAATTATTACTAGCTTGATTGAATAGATCCTGTATTGTGGTACATTTGACTGAATAGATTTAGATCATAGAGATAGATAATCATTAACTAAATATCAATCAGAGATGCAACTTTTACCAAAACATTCACTCTAGTGAGTGGTGAGATGTTTAACTAGAATTAATTAATTAGAAGCAGACCATGAAGTTAAGTCCTGAATTTGTATCCTAAATTTGTATCAATTTGTCCACTATATTTCTAATAAACGGTCATTTTAGGCAGCCCTAAGGGACTGTTTATAATTTATAGGGGATGATGATTTGTTATGGTGAAGCATCTACAATGTGAATTTTCCTTCCCCAAAAAAAAAATAATAAATAAAATAAAATATATGTACAAAAATCCCCAAATTTTTAAGCATATGTTTTATGTATGTGTGTACAAATTTGATGACTCAACCAGCTTCCCAGAACAAAATGTGTCAACCCCCCTTGAAATAAATCATCATCAAACACCCCACTCCCAATCCATAAATTATGAATGGTCCCTAATGGGAAATGCTTCAATATATATAGTTAAAACTAACCGTTGTCTAAGGCCAAAAGAGAATACATGTCTGTTTCCTATTACATGCTGTTTAAAAATAGGGTAGGTGGGTTAGGTTTATCTTTATTTTAAACTTATTATAAAACGTTTTTAGTAGCACCAGGTGGGCACCAGAGAAGGTCTTCAAGAGTATCATATCATGTAGTGACAATGCCTTGTGATGTAACATTGAAAGATTTCTATATCGATTCATTATGTATATTATGTAAGTTTTGTCAGTGAGAGCCCATTATGCCAATTTAATTTAATGCAATCCATTTTAGCCCTACGTACACTGAAAAACATGAAAATATCACACTTGATTTGGATGAAAATGATGAAATGAAATGCATGATTTTGACTTGGTTAAAAAAAGATGCAGGGTCGGAGGTTTAGGATAGGGTCGGTCGGGTTACCGGAAACAGATATTATTATTTTTATGCCCCTGCCATAAATATGGCATATAGGGTTACCCTCGGTGTCCGTCCATATGAAACAGGGAATGTATTCTATCCACTTCTCCACCATAACCGCTCTGTGGAATTCAATGAACTTATACATTGGCTTTCTTGGGACTCTAATGGTGTGCATCTCATATTTTGTTTTTTTATTTTATTGGTTTTTTTTGTAAGTTTAGAGACATTTGAACTTAGGTACATTTTGCTGAATTTCTCTATGATGATGTTGTAATATGGGATGAAGTCTATCCACCTATCCACAAACACTGCTCAACAGAATTGAATGAACTTCTACATGTCTTTTGTCCGATTCGGATTACATTCGATCGGACAATGGTACAAATTTAGTTGGATGTGAAAGGAACTAAGAGGAATCAATTAATTCTTGGAATCAGAAACAGATCAACAGAGAACTACTTCAGAAACACATTAGTTTGGAAGTTCAATCCTCCCTTGGGATCTCATCATGGAGAGTGTTTGGGATCGTTTATAACGGTCAGTGAGACAGGTACTGTATTCATTAATGCATACTCAAATTGTCCATTTGGATGACGAGGCATTACAAACCTTATTTTGTGAAATTGAGGCCATATTGAATGACAGACCCGATTACACAGTTGTCATGTGATCCGAATGACCTGACACCGTTAACACCAAATCATCTGTTACTTCATATAGAGCTGGGGAAGACTTACCCCACAGGCACATTTTCACACAAAGACGACAATACTGCCAGACGAAAGTTACAAAATCCAAGTACAAGTATCTAGCAGATATTTTTTTTGGGTAAGATGGGTTTAAAGAATGCTTACCCATGCTACAAGAAAGACAAAAGTGGTTACTGCCAAAGAGAAATGTATGTATTGGAGACATCGTTCTCCTCATGGATTCCTCTCTCAAGAAGTATATGTGGGCTATGGGGAAAATTGTGGACACTTTTCCAGACAACAAGGCTTTGTTAGCAGTGTAAAGAGAGTGAAGACCATGTCGGCTGAACTGGTTAGATCCTATTGACAAAACAGTTTTGCTTTTGGAAGCAGATAGTGCCTTAAATGAATGTTAAAGGCAATGATCACTGTGACATTCTAGTGACCCTTATATGGAGAGTTACCTAAAATGGACATCCTTGTGTATTTATTGACTGTGGTTGTAGTAGTAATACCATGATAATAATTAATCTTGAAAGTGTTAGTCATATTTCAGATTCATCTGCAGTTACCCATGCTTGTATGGTGAGGGGTGACTGCGAGTCCGAGTAGTCAGTCTCCAAAGCTGGCTTTGTTGACACATGTCTTCGTGGTCCGGTTGTGTGGATTGATGCTCATGCTTTGTTGATCACTGGATTGTCTGGTCCAGACTCAATTCTTTGCAGACCACTGTCATATGGCTGGAATATTGCTGGAGTGCGGTGTGAATCTTAACTCACTCCTCACTTGAAGGTGTAACCAGCTTACATTAACTTCGTGGCATCATACAAAGAACAACATGTCAGTGTACAGTTGGCTACGAGGTAACACTTGTCAAGAGATACATATTTTATAGCATGGCCAGGTTTCATATGGATGTATAATCTCTACATTACTGATTCATTTATTATTTGGCCTGTTGCATTTGTGATTTGTAATTGGTATGATTTAATCGTCCCAATTAGGGGGGAGGCAGTAATATTCACGCCAAAACTGTATATATTTTTGAATTTTTTTGTTTTGTGGGTTTGTATGAAATATGTTATGGTTGACAGAAACGCCTATACTTTTGTTTGTCGTTAAATATTTTTGGCGGGTTGCATTTAGGAGGTGTCAAGGGGAGATAACTTTGGGTAGCTATGTGATTCGTGATCAGTATGTAAGCCTGCTTGCCATGTGAAGCGTGTCAGAGAGCAGATGGTCTACAAAGCGGTATGAGTAACTTTTACATTTTCTGCTTGTCAACACTTTGTGTTATAGGTAATGAAGCTATCAGCAGCATTTCTGCAATATGAATTATTGATATTTCTGCAGTAGTATCTCCACGTTTTCAATACTGTTTGCTGCATTCAAAACTTCGCTTTCGCTTTGCCGAGTTCTAAAAAATAGATTTTCTCAGGTTTTTCGTTTGTTTGGGCTTTCAAAGTCATTAATTTAACAAGTAATAAGGGTTTTACTGAAATAGTAGTCATGTAAGTTTACTAACATTATTCGTCACTGCAGGTAGTTAGAAATGTAAAACTTTGTCAAAAGTGTATCTTTATTGATGAAGTTGAGAATGTAAAATCTTGCGATACTGACAACATTATATGGAACTATAGATTCCCTTATTTCTTCATTGCAGTCAAAATATTGTCGTTTCAATATGAATATGAATCATGATGAACTTGAGAGACACTTGCGTTGAATTGGCCCGTATCTGCTTACAAATCCTATTGACATTTCAATATAAATATGAATCATGATGCACTTGAGAGAAAGAATAAAAAAGCAACTCCTGAACTACAACTATTGCGTTGAAACTGATTCAAAGAACTACAGACTCTAAAGGTGTGCATGTCATAATTTTTTATGCAATTTCTTACTTTTGTCACTTTTACAGATGTTTGAACTTAGTTGAATTTTGTTCTATTCAGCCAGTGTTCGTTCCATCCAACAGGGTGTGTACGTTATCCACTTCTCCTCAAAAACTACTTTATGGAATTCTTTTAGATTACACATGTGCTTTATAGGGACACTAAAGGCGTGCATCTCATATTTTGATTTTGTATTTTATTTATTTTTTTTCAATTTTAATGCCGTTTGAACTTAGATCAATTTTGTTGAATTTCTCTCTGAATATAGTGTTGTAGGGGGTGAAGTCTATCCACTTCTCCACAAAAGCCGCTCAACAGAATTGATTGAGCTTCTACGTGTGTTTCATTGGAACTCTTAAGGTGTGCATCTCATACCTTGTTCATCCAATTTCTTAATTTTGTCACTTCTACAGATGTTTGAACTTAGTTGAATTTGGTTCTATTCATCCAGTTAGTCCCATACAACAGGGGGTGTACGTTATCCACTTCTCTTCAAAAACTACTTTATGGAATTCATTTAGATTACACATGTGCTTTATAGGGACTCTAAAGGTGTGCATCTCATATATTGATTTTGTATTTTATTTATTTTTCCGATTTTAATGCCATTTAAACTTGCATAAATTTTGTTGAATTTCTCTCTGAATATAGTGTTATAGGGGATGAAGTCTATCAACTTCTCCACAAAAACTGCTCAACAGAATTGATTAAGCTTATACATGTGTTTCATTGAGACTCGAAAGGTGTGCATGTCATAGTTGCATAGATGTTTATTGAACTTTGTTCAATTATTGATCTTTATATGTCTTATGAATGTCATCGGGGGCATCCATGTCCCTGGACACAATTTTTTCTTGTTTTGCCTAACCTCCCAGTATCAGCGGCAGACATTGAGGACACCCGAATTACCCTGATTTCTTAAATTTTGAACAACAATGTTTTTTAAGACATCGAAAGCTTCTCTGTAATCTGTCTCTTTTTCTCTTTGTGTGTTTATTTTGTTTAAGTTCAATTTCTGTGTGACACCAAAGTTCATGAAGATGCACTTTAGTCTGTATTTGAGTTAGGAAATGAAATAAATCTGTGAAACGAATTGTGAAATTAATTTCTAGGAAAACGGCAATGCAAACATCGTATGACCGTGGCCATTATTACAATTACAGCACGTCCAAACTGAATTATGGGCAATCTCAGAAGCAGGCGATATGCGAGCGCGACAGCGACCAATGTTCGATAGACATGAATAGATGTTGAGGTTTTAATTGTTTCTAATCATGAAACAGAAGAAGATTTTAAAGTTCTTTAAGAATCTGATTTCGATCCCTATTTATATTTAGATAGTACTGAGGGCTTGCTCAAACCTTTTCGCAACAATCATGTGTACGTCCAGGCTTTTTTTATAACGGAAGCTACGTCCGTGAGCTGTGAACAATGGCTAATGATGAAGTGTACAGGTCAGACATGAAAGTTTGAGGTCAGTAAATAAGCAAAAACACTTACCTGACATTGTTTTATTACGCATGATTTATTAGTGAAGATTGTTATACATTTACAACTTTGACAATCACTTCAAATCCTGCACTTCAAGTCTTGTAATGTTTTGAAGATCAGTTCAACAGACCATAAATTTATGGTACACCTGAAATTGAAATGGCACACTTAAATTGTCATGACAGTGCCCCACTCTAAGTAAACGTAGGCTCAGTATTATTTGTTACACTGCTATACTGAGTCTAACAAAACCTTGTGGAAGGTTGCGTCAGGTAACCTTTGAGCTATCTATGACCGTCCAATCAAACGTGAGACGGTCAAACGGATTTAACCAATCAGACAATGGCTACTATTTAAGGTTTATTACAAAAAGGGGATTTTCTCTTCCCTGGTCAACAACACTGATCTCATAACAAATGAAAACCACCATAGAACACAGATATATGACCTACAGAATATACTCTTTTGGGTTTCTGTTGACATGGATATCATTAGCTAATATTTCCGAAAGCTGATATCCTTCAGTACTGATAAAACGCTATTTTCAGCGACTGTTTACTCACTCTTGTGTTGTGCTCGATGTGCATCACTCGGAAGCGATCGTACGAAAAATAGCATTCAGAATCGTTCAGGTACAAAACGTTTTCGAGGTAAAAGTTCAAGAGGTATGTGCGAATGTCAGCTTTCACGATTTCGTAAGCTGTGTTCTGACTGGTCCATTGAAAAGGTCAGCTGACGCAACCTTCCACAAGGTTTTGTTAAGACTGAGTATAGCAGCTGAGCCTGAGTTTACTGAGACTGGACAGTGCCCATGAGGCATCCATCTAAAGAACTTAAATTCGATCCCTGCACTAACTGGCCATGTCCAAAAGCTGATACATTCATGAAAATTCTTTGTGCCATTTATGTCTACCAAATTCTTTAACTCTTTCAACACCATAAAATCATAAAGCACTTGAGTGAATTTGTTAGATAAAAATAGCGAAAGAATAGTGGATTTTTTTTTAAGGTTGATGAGATACTGCCCACTTTGAAAAAAGTTTTTTCTGACCAAGAGATGTATGCTTACCTAGATTGATGCTCATGAAGTTAAGTATTCACAGCTGGAATAGTGATGACTAGGGGTGTCACGATACACCAATCTCACGATCCGATACGATACGTATCACAATTTTAAGGTCACGATACGATATGTATCTCGATACATAATTTTTGCCTTTTCATAGCATTACCTTACGGCAGCGTCTGCGCTCGCTGATTGGTCCATCAAAATAGTCTAGCCATTCACAAAAGCTGTTAGTTTCCAACCTATTTTTTAAGTATAGCTAGCTACATCTATTTATCTGAGCGGTCTCGTATGAATTTACTATCAAGACTTTGAAGGAGATGGATATAACATAAAAATTTGAATCGATAAAGTTTTAAAATAGGAATCGATACACGCAAGCATGTATTGCGTATCGTATCGTCAGTAAGAATGTATCGATGCATCGATACATTTCGCGTATGACGACATCCCTAGTGATGACTGTAGCCTGAAAAATAAACAAACATCAGAATGTTGGCAAGCAATGTTTTGGTGTTGATTATATTGAACAAAACTCATTTTCTTGTGGGTGTGTCCAACCCACACATCCTAATCAGCACTGGTTTGGGGAAAACCATTGCATTGTACTCATAATGTAAACAGAGATTGATCTTTTATTCTAAATTAAGTACATTGTACAGGCAAAATATGGGAAATAATATGATTTTGTTCAAACTTGATATTTTCATAAATTAAGGCTAGATAAGTGTTTTTGCTAAAAGAGGTAATAATTATTGTCATTTGCTATGAAGCAGGGTAAAGAAACCTGCATCTGAACAGGTCCAGTTAAATCCCTATGGCACTTTAGTTTTATGTCATTATGAATTTGAAAAATAATTTGATTTAAGAAAAAAATGAGGACAAGGGGCCTTCGGGAAAGAAAAGTAAAGATCAAACCAATCAAGTGCTAAATAAATTAAATGGATTTCTAGGCATTATGGCATCTTTCACAAAAGCAGAAATTCAGTGTCATGTTGATCATGTTTTGTTTCACCTACCATAATGTTCACATAGATTTGATCCAACACACGAGAATTTCTTATACTGCAGATCCTTCCAGCTTTGAGCAGAGACGGTGAGCGTCCCATTGACTACAAGGCTATTATGAAGAAGAAAGTTTGTGATGATATCGATCAGTTCTTCACCAAGGCTGAACTGAGCACCTTGTCGGATTATGAAAAGCTACGGCTACGAAACATGAGGAAAAACTACGAGATGATGGCTGAATTAGGTATAATACCTCATTTGATGTTGTTTTATTAGCTTCATATTAGGGAGGTCAGGCTAATTTTGTACATGCATTTTATTACTCAGAAGTGTACATACACTTTTAGTTCATGCATAAGTGAGTAAAAAGCACTTTTCCTTTTTAATTTATGTCAAAAACATTTTGAGATATGAATGTTTTATTAGTGTATATAGCCGCCATTTTGTTTTCCAAGATGGCCGCCATTCAGTGTGGCCACAATGTTGGGATTAAAAAGGGCCAGGGAAAGAAATTGAATAGGTGTTTTTCTATTTAATATATATTATTCATCTGGAAAAAATGTGTTCAAACAATTAAACCATTCATAATCAACTAGTTGTTTGTACTAAAACTCTTAATTTTATACTGTCAAAACATGGAAAAACAGGAATTTGTACGGCCAAGAATAGACAAAATTGCCCAACTTTGAATGGTCTTATACGTGTGCAAATAACTGACAATCAGTTCAAGATTGCTAATGTGATTAAAAACAACATTTGTGCCAATAAATGAAGTTAAAACTAATTAATCCTTCATTATCTATCTAAAATGATATTCCAAATTTTGCTATTTTATCATGTTTCATCTCATAATAGATGTGGCACCATTTTATGGTCCAATGACACGCACAAAAATTAACATAAAATTTCTAATAAAGAAGATATCCTGATGAAATTTGGAAGGCAGGAAGATCTTTCCATTTGCTACATTTGTAGCTACTGCAACACAATATTTACTGCAAGTAATAAGGCTTTATCTCTCTCACAATAAGAAACAACAAACCAGAAATGTGGTTTTGATATATTTTATTCAGTTTCATCGGCACACATCATCCATCTGAAGACTCGTTATTCATTAATGATTTACCTAAGATGACAATGTTCATTGTTAATGATCAAAACAAAGTACAATGACCATACAGTCATCACTATCACCTAGTTTTTATTCACTATTTGAATCCAAATATTCATGTGTAACATAGTGTGAAAAATAGTGAATAATTACCTTAGTAAATAATCTAAAGTCATTTCATGCTCATATTTCATTCATGATACAAGTCTCGATCATAACACAAGTGCATTTATCATGCTTATGTTTTAAAAATAAAAGAAATGATATATATAATAATATGATAAATAATTAATGTTGCCAAACAGAGATAAACTCTCATCCATAAATAGGAATAATAGGATGCTGAAATTTTAAATTTGACAGTAAGAACCAGTTATTTGATGTAAGAGAAGAGCATACCAGTTCAGATAATAAGATCAGGTTATATCTAAACTGAGAACACAGTAGGATCTTTCCATTTGCTACGGTATGAAAGCGGGGAGGGCTCCAACAAAAGACAATGGTTCAGGATAAGGTCGGGATTAGGATACTGAAAGAAGAAATACATCATGTGAAAAATTAATTACTATAGTCTTCACACAATGAATCTAGTTTTTGGTGTTTTTTTCCCCCTCTCATGAAGTATAATTTTCTATTTAGTGAGATGACTTCAGGTCCAGAACAAAATACATATTTATTTTCAACAATGTTCATAATCTACAGATATATGTGATGATAACTTGATAGTAAATACATGGGTAAAAGTTCCCCTAAAAATTGAAAATATTTGGTAAATATTGTTGTTTTGTAATGGTATATCTCACCTATTTTAAGGGTTTTGTGGTTAAAGCCGGTGGGATAGTTCTAAGAACTGCTCAAGGTTTGGTTGCCAAAGAACACCAATCCATGTAAAAAAATTCAAATAAATAAATACATACACCAACCCTCATTTTTTCATTGGTGTAAAAATACAGAGTAGGAAAGTTCAAATCTGTTATTTATGATATTTCGTTACAATTACGTAATTTCTACTGTGAAATTTAATACCATGTTATCATGCTCATGTCAGACAAAGCAAACACATTTTACCAATAACTATTCATTGTGATAATGGTACGAGGGTTAACAAAGCAAACCGGAAGTGACACTGAGAAATAGTTTTCGGTAGTTTCCATGTGTTTATGATAGAAATTCGGTCAGCAATTTATTGGAAGTTAGCTGTATCTTGTTGACATAATCTTATTTCAAGGTCGGTGTGTTTAATGGGAGCAGACAATGAATGCACACAAAAAATGTCGTCCTCAATTAAGTTGTGACGACGTGTAGCAAAAAACAACATGGATTACTCCATAATGATACGAGGACATTCGTTGTCATGAAAACATCAGTGTACATAAAAAATTAGTTTTAAATGGTGTTGTGGCACAGATAAAATGTTTGTTCCATTTATATTTGTCTACAAGAGGCAAAGCCCTTACCTGTCACGTCAGGGCGTGTCAGCAAGTGCTCCACTTTCTCCCTCGTCACCCCCACTACGGACCAAGCCCATTCGATCAGCGACTGTCATGACAGCACTGCTGTGATGGAAATTGGGGTTAATTAGGACCCAGTGTAAACAGAGAGACAACATGTCAGTGATAATAGTGTTTGGAAGGAATTATCAGGATTGAGATTGAACATACGATGTCTTGAATGTTTTGGTTGTTGATACATTGGAAGAGTACACTTTTATACATGGGGAGAGGTAATTATTAAATCGGTATTTTCTTCAATGATTTACCTTTTTATCAAAAAAAGAACTTTAATTCACATCAAAGAAATTAACTTATGTAAGTCTTGTGTTATGTAGGGGTTAACCTGTCACATTGTCCGCTGCCCCCTTCCATAGTGAACTCGTCTGTTTGCGAGTCAGCTCTCATGTCTGCTGTGAGAGAGGGGAAACGATGGAACTCCTTCAGGGCTCCAGATAACTTTTGGCGGTGCTAGTGTACTTACACATCATATTGCAAGTGGAGGTGTACTGAGAATTTTGAAGGAGTACTGACATGTTTTTGTGTGAGCGAGTTGGTGATGTGGTTTGTCTGGACGATTCATCAATCACTATTTCCAACCATGTATTTGTGTTTGAAGATGCCTGAGAAATAACTGTGCGACCGTGTGATGTGCGAAATGTCAGGTCCGACTGGATATAAATACAGGGATAGAAATACTATTTTCTCCAAGTGTGCCTTCAGGCACCAGACAGACATTTTAGGTGTGCCTTTCAGTAATCAAGTGTGCCCACATATTTTTGGAATGATTGACTGTAACAATGGTGATGATCTTTTAAAATCTAATGTTAGTTAACAACAAATCTAACTTTTTCTGTCATCACCGATGTGTCTTCTGCTTAAGATGGCTTTCTTAAGCGTCATCTGTTCTTGAACCATAAGATGGGGTCCATCGTCTGCCACATTTGCTGGCGCTCATCCATCTACCTGCAAGCTTTGTTTTACACTGAGCAACTGTCATGAGAGTGGAGAGTGTTCTTGGCTGCAGCCTAGATCTCCAGTCCATTTTGACTCTCCCCATCATTGAAAACCCTCTCTCACATTCTGCAGATGACACTGCCATCACAAGAGATATTTGAAACAAGGCAAGTATGTTTTGGTACCTCTTATAAACAATGTCTTGTTTCCTTGACCATAGGTCAATGTTAGTCAGATTCTGATTTCTCTTCTGGAGGGCACAAGCTTTAGTCAGAAGATCAGGCAATTCCATCAAACAGGATTCCTGTGTGATGCCTCTTCTTGTGAGGTGGTCAGAGAAATGGTCAACAATCTTCTCAGTCTGGTCCCTACAATAGTTGACCAAGGAACTTTCTTCTGGCCAATTACAAGGGGAGAAAATGTGAAAAGACTCCATTACATCACTATTCCCTTCAAATTCTGCTATCCTGGAGAAAAGAGTTTCTGCTGTGTTTTTTGTCAGACTTTGAAATTCATTAACAGCTTTCTTGATCATTGCGATATGGCTGAAATATTGCCGATGTGACGTTAAATATTAACTCACTCACTCACTCACTCACTCACTCACTCACTCACTCACTCACTCACTCACTCACTCACTCACTCACTCACTCACTCACTCACTCACTCACTCACTCACTCACTCACTCTTGATCATTGTCTCCTTGGAAAGTCCACTTTTCTTTTTATCAAGCTTCACTGTCCTGTAGTACTCCTCATGATCGACTTGCCTGTTTGTGAAATCCTGTGCCATTTGGTCTATGTTTATTCCAGTAGGTTTGACACAAACTGCATGCATTCTTACTGGAATGAGATGTATTGAAGTGTCATTGTCCTGAAAACAATCTGACAAGGAAGCACAAGTTGCAAAATAGAGCAACATCAAGTGCATGAACAGCACAATATCCAGGGACTTCAGACTGTCTAGAATATGTCTTGCCTTAGAACTTGTGTCAGTCTTACTCTGTATTGCAACCTTGTTGCAGTGGGTGCTGATTGCAGTGGATTGCTTTCAGTGCTCTACTTCTGTGATTTGCCCACCTTGTCCCAAATATGTTGAAAGGCCTAATGGTCTTGACACCCAGTGCATCTCCTGTCTCTTGTAGACATGTCCAGTTCAGAGGTGAGTAGTGGTAGAACTTGGAAATATCATCCATCAACTTGTCAAGTGTAGCAAGTAAAGTGAGGTTCTTTCCAGCACTTTTCATTGCAAGTTCCAGTCTATGTGCTATACATGGGATAGGAATAATGTGAGGGACATCATTTCGCCTCGTCCGTCTGTCCGTCCGTCCGTAATCATTTTGTTTCCGGAACATAACTCAAAGACCGTTCGATATTTTTTAACCAAAATTGGTAGATATGTCAAACATAACCTAAAGTGGTGCCTTTTGCTATTTACAGATTATTGTCATTTTTAATTTTTTTCGGTTTCCATGGAAACGTTTTGGACTTAGTCTTACAGAAGGGTAGGCTTCGTTTCTGGAGCATAACTCAAGAACCGTTCAATATTTTTCATCAAAACTTGGTAGATATATCAAACACATCCTAAAGTGGTGCCTTTTGCTATTTACAGATTTTTAGCATTTTTACTTTTCCCGGTTTCCATGGAAAAGATTCGGACTTAGTTGCAAAAGTGAAGGTAGGGCT